GAACCACCCATAGAAGGTAAAGCACCAGCACAAGTAAAGAAATCTTGAATAACCCCTTTTCCAATAATATTACCACTACCGATTCGAAACTTTTTAGTATGTAAGATAGTGGGTTCTTCAACAGGACCATTAAAAGCATCAAAATTTTCCATGTTATTACTATTGTCGTTATCAACGATAACCTCCTCAGTTTCAGACATATCGGCAATAAGTACGAGGAGCAAACGAAAAAGAGGCGAACGAAAAAGAGAGGGCGAATAAAACGGCAAGGGTGAAGCGGGGGAGAGGAAAACAAGAGGCAAATGGCAATAAATGTAATGCGAGGGAGATGAGTTTGTGATGGGTACTTGGTATGTCTTGACTTGTGCGAAGACCTCCCCGGCAACGGCGCCAGAAATCCTTCTTTCTACCTCTTGAGCACTGCGTTGGTTTTCCCTTGAAGAGGAAAGGGTGATGCAGCAAAGTAGTGTAAGTATTTCCTTCAGTTTTTGAGAACCAAGGTATCAATCCTGTAGGAGGCTCCACGCAAGTCCCTCGTACCGACACAAACAAACAAGAACCTCGCAACCAACCCAATAAAGAGGTTATCAATCCCTTCACGGCCACTTGCGAAAGTGAGATCTAATAGAGATAATAAGATAAGATAAATATGTTTGGTATTTTTATAATATAAATTGGAAAGTAAAGATTGCAAAATAAAGTAGATTGGAAACTTATATGATGGAAGATAGACCCGGGGGCCATAGGTTTCACTAGTGGCTTCTCTCAAGATAGCATAAATATTACGGTGGGTGAACAAATTACTGTCGAGCAATTGATAGAAAAGTGCATAGTTATGAGAATATCTAGGCATTATCATGTATATAGGCATCACGTCCGCAACAAGTAGGTCGAAACGATTCTGCATCTACTACTATTACTCCACACATCGACCTCTATCCAGCATGCATCTAGAGTATTAAGTTCATAAGAACAGAGTAACGCATTAAGCAAGATGACATGATGTAGAGGGATAAACTCAAGCAATATGATATAAACCCCATCTTTTTATCCTCGATGGCAACAATACAATACGTGCCTTGCTGCCCCTGCTGTCACTGGGAAAGGACACTGCAAGATTGAACCCAAAGCTAAGCACTTCTCCCATTGCAAGAAAGATCAATCTAGTAGGCCAAACCAAACTGATAATTCGAAGAGACTTGCAAAGATAACCAATCATACATAAAATAATTCAAAGGAGATTCAAATATTTCTCATAGATAAACTTGATCATAAACCCACAATTCATCGGATCTCGACAAACACACCGCAAAAAGAGTTATGTCGAATAGATCTCCAAGAAGATCGAGGAGAACTTTGTATTGAGATTCAAAGAGAGAGAAGAAGTCATCTAGCTAATAACTATGAACCCGAAGGTCTGTGGTAAACTACTCACAACTCATAGGAGAGGCCTTGACGATGATGTAGAGGCCCTCCATGCTCGATTCTATCTCCAGCGGAGCGCCAGAAAAGGCTCCAAGATGGGATCTCATGGGTACAGAAGGTTGCGGCGGTGGAAATAGGGTTTCGTGGTGCTCCTGGATGTTTTCGGGATACTAGATATATATAGGAGGAAGAAGTAGGTCGGTGGAGCCACGAGGGGCCCACGAGGGTGGCGGCGCGCTCCCCCCCTAGGGAGCGCCTTGCACCCTCGTGGCTGCCTCGGCTGCTTCTTGACGTCCACTCCAAGTCTCCTGGATTGCGTTTGTTCCAAAATGATCGCTCCCAAAGGTTTCATTCCGTTTGGACTCCGTTTGATATTCCTTTTCTTCGAAACACTGAAATAGGCAAAAAAACAACAATTCGGGCTGGGCCTCCGGTTAGTAGGTTAGTCCCAAAAATGATATAAACGTATATAGTAAAGCCCATAAACATCCAAAACGGGTAATATAATAGCATGGAACAATAAAAAAATTATAGATACATTGGAGACATATCAGTTCCCGCAGTAGATGTCCCCACGCCGCTGTTGATTGTAGTCGAAGGCCCTGCAAAAAAAAGGTATGTGTGTAAGCATTGCTTGAATGGCAGGTTTATTGTAACGGAATATAGCAACTACATCTGATGTGGCAAGATATCATTCATACAGCAAGTCATGACATCTGCATCTGGCCATGCATGGCAACTACAATTTTTGAGCCATGGCAGCTACAGTTCAACAACCATGGCAGCTACTATTACCAATGCATGGCAACCAACATCCTTTAGCATCAAAACATGCATTCTAGGTGCACGCGTCTACTTGGTAGCATTTTTGTTGTTTTCCGCCACCACCGTGACAAATCCATTTCCCCCCATGCTTTTCCACAAAAGCAAATGCACTATTGTTTTGTTAGTTCACATATTTTTTACCTTGTTGTGCCGCATGTACTAACCGCATCTGGTTTGTCATTCCAATTTGATGTGCTCTATCTGCAATAGCATTGGACTGCAACTGTGAAGCTTGCCATGAGATGTTTGCCGGTGTGGTTCCACCATAACAACCTGTGATCATTTAACGGTTGGCCAATGCATGGCAATTGTAGTTTGTACAACATGACACATGTAGTGGTTCAACCATGCCACACAGATTTTTGTTCACACTTGTCATCCGCAGTTATTTAGACACATGAATCACATTTGATTATGTATGGCAACTATAATTGATTTGACATGGCAACTGCATCTGTCCAGGCATGGCAACCGTAGTTGTCCAGGCATGACAATCTAGGAATAGCACTGCAGTTGTTCAGGCATGACAAATGCAGTTGTGCATGCATGGCAACTGCACCTGCCCAAGCATGGCAAATGCAGTTGTCCAGGCATGGCAAATGCATTTGTCTTATGTTCATTCTCCTGAATCACTGTCCACAAATTCACTTCATTCGTCTCACCTGTGTACGACATTGATGGCAGGTACATGGTTGCCACCTGTTGCCCCGTGCTACATGAAGGCCCTGCGTTTTTCCATATAACTCGTAAGTCTTTGCCATCCTTGCAAGTTTAATTTCATGTCCACACCAGTATGATTTTTTTTGTACGTGTTACCTTGATTTGCCACATTGGCTACTTGAAGTTGGTCGCCCGTACATCTGTCAGCGTTAGCGCCCTGTGCCTGTACTTGCCATGGTATCCCCGTCTGTGTGGTTGGGTCATAAGAACCTGCGAAAAATGACATTGTAGGACATAAGTAGAATGCTATCTTCCTCGTCACAAATATGACAATTGTCCCTTTTTTGATGATGCATCGTACCGATGCTTGCATACTGCTCTAGTAGTGGCAGCAATGGCCCTGCGGAAATGAGTTGATTGTACTCTGCTGCATCCCAAGGGGGCGTTTCTGGCCTTTAAGAAAACCAAGGATCAGTGTCGTCTTCATTATTCATTTTTTTCTCCCACTTTGTTTTTAGTCACTGCATGAACAAGAACACATCAATATCCGCAAAATGCATTCTTTCTATTTGCACATACAAGAAAACACGACAATCTTATCACATTTCTTGCATAGACAACCAACACATCATGGCAAGTAGGACATGCACATTCATTCTCTTTTCTAAAATCTGGATGCCAACTATCATTTCAAACCGATGGCAACAACGAACATAATATGATGGCAACTAACAACATAATATTGTGGCAGCTCACGGCAAAAATAGATGGCAACTAACATCAGAAACATGTGGCAATTATTTTCCTCCCTCTCTATGCACCACCCAAATCCCTCCTCCCCCCCTATTTTTAGTGATTCCTACACATTCTTATGCATCAACTACTCGCACCAACCCAACCCAGAAGCTTAGCTCAACTCTAGGATGGAATATTGCAATCTGGTGTACTTTAGTGGGCAAATTTGAATACACAAAAATCCGTGGTGTGTTTGTCATGACAGCGTGGATCTAGTCGCCATGTTCGTGGGCAATCTGCAATTTCAATTTTCTGGATAGAAGAAGGACGAGAAACATGAGGAGATCAGAGATCGACC